GGTCAGCGAGGGTCACACAATTACTCAAGAATACCCACATCTGGCGGCTGCGAATGGCGAGGTAATAGGATGAGACCCAAATTAGTTAGGCCCCAAATACCACCTGAGCCCCGGTTTTATGTAAATAAAGGTGTCTGGCGGACATGGATGGATACATGGAAGAAAAAGCAGCACTAACCTGAGACGCAAAGGAAGAGTACTGTTGAGCCCAAGCGGACATGATCTGGGCGGCATTCTGATGTGGAAGTGAGGTTGTGGCCGTTGTCAATGGCCATGGCATCCGACCAAGAGGGGGGAGGCGATTGCCGCGTCGTTCTTTGGCTCGAGTGTTTTGAAACCACACCTGAAAACGCAACACATTAGAGTTTTCTTCCTAAGAGAGTCCTTCCGGCTGAGCTGAGCGCGCGGGCTACCGCCGCCGCTGCCGCTTCATCGTCATCAGGTCGAAAACATTTGGCCAGTCAACACATAAAAACGACTGAAAAACCGCGGACGCAGGTGCGCTAGTCGGGGGTTTTTCACCCCGCTTCCTATCTATACCTTTGGTGATTGATCAGGGAAATGTTGGGGAGGGAGCCTGTTCGAGCGATGGGTTGCCAGGACAGTCTTTCACATGTACCCGAAAGTACAGAAGATCGGAGGCAAGGAAACGGTTGGTACGAGCATGGTAATTCGGCAGTGACACATCGGTTGCCCTTTGCCAACTCAATTGCCGCTTTTTCGAAATTTCAAAACAATGACGAGAAGATGACACGAGTGAGAAGAAATTTGAACCGAGTCGAAGTGGCCGTTACGGTAGACGTGTGAATCAACCGAAGAGAAGAAGCTGAAAACGATTTCCATACCTGGACAACGCGTTTGTTCACTCCGATCTGCTCAGCCACCGCTGACAACTCGTACTTGGAAGGGAACGGATTTCGCTTGAAGTGCGTGTTCAGGACTGCCACCTGGAACGGCTGGTATGTTGCTTGAGAGATCTACCACGAGTATGGGTAAGCAACATACCTGGGCATCGGTGAGGAACGATCTCGAGCGAAGTGGACGCCAATCTTGCGGTGATGTCTTCGCATCGTTGATCATCTCATTTCCAACCACCACCTCAAGCTCACCATCGCCAGCATCGCTCTGCAAGGATAAATTCAGTAGTGTCAGGAAGTGATTAGGGTAAATAAGCGCTTCGTATACATTTATAGTCGATTTGAAGTAATGAACTATTTTCGAGTGAAAATTGAGGAAGCACGAACCCATTACCCCCCCCCCCCCAATAACTCAGTCCCAGGTCCACCTCTCATGCTAGTATTTTGAAAGCCTGCAACAGGAGGGCTAAAAGCGCTCTCTCAAAATTGACAAATCAAGTATACCCAAAATTTAAGACCAATTTCTCAAAAAGTATCAGAAGATGTCAGATTAAAGCTCACCGAGGTGTCGTGCTTGATGTCCTTCTCCTTTTTGTCGTCCGGAGAGGATTCAGGAGGAGGTGGACTGCTTTCGGACGACATAGTGGAATTAAGGTACGACGAGAGCAAAGACGATGGGGACGTGGGCGTCGGCGAAGTGGACGAAATGTCCGTCAGCTGAAACAAACCCATTTTAACTGGAGAATTTGCAAAGAATTGAGCAAAAAGTTCGACGACAGAGGAAAAAGCGGTCGGTTCCGATTTGTGTGCGCCATGAATTCCACATCCACTCGAAATAATACCAGTGTTTGAATGCGAATATGGCTTATACAACAGCTTAAAGGGACCGATTCATCTTCAATCAATGTTTTGGCCCTCACAGACAAGCCTTTTCTCAAAATTCTCAACCTTCTGGAAATGAACTATGAGAGATTCCATCTAAGCATCGTTTAGGTGTTAATGGCGCCTCTTACCACTCGACCGCCTCCATCTATCATAATAAAACGTTTTTGAAGAGTTATAACATCAGTTATTTAACGTCGGGATCTCACTTTACAGTGAATCGAAGGGCTTTTGACATGACTAAGGCGAAAAACCTTCCCCTCATTCTGTAAACACGACGGTTTTTGCTTGTTTTCAGTGTTGCGAAATTGTGACTGAAAGGTCGCCGGTATTGATGTGGCCCTTTTCTACCGGCAAATACTACCCGCACAAACAATCCCTAGTTTTCTACCCTCCAAAATAGCCAGCCCAATTGAAACTTCATCGCCGATGAGCCCCATCGCCGTGCTCTCACACTCTAGTCATATAGGTCTCCAAATGGCGACGGTGGGTGAGTTCGATACGGCAAAGCGTCTCCTCCCCTCCCATCGGCCAGCTACCTTCAGCTACCTAATTAATACTCACACAGCCGCCGTTTCTCTCTCTCGCACATTCTCACCGCAATAGCCAGCCGAGAGCCAAGCCACAGGACGCGACGGGGAGACAAAGAGCGTGTGTGTCGTCATTTAGACTTACTAGGGCCGCTAACATCTTCTTGCTCTCGCTGTCAAAGGGCATTTAAAGTGTTTATTGCTGAAGTGCATGTGCTGCTCGCTTACCCCTTGTAACATTGTCTGTTGAATGAGACTGAGGTAGGGATTCGTGTCCATGGTGGCGGTGGGAAGGGCGAATTGTTGTTGTGTTTGAAGTTGCATCAGCAAATTTCGATAAATCATCAACTGGTAATGATTGAACTGCGGTACCATGGACGGTGCGCTCTGAAATAAGCACTGAAAAATGGTTAGAAGCTCAAAAATCACTTGGCCAGGGAGGCGAAAGACCTTTCTTACCTGTTGTATACATTTTTTGCTGCTCATATGGGATGAGTAGGAGCCAGAATGCGAGAATCGCTTGTGGCAGGATGGACACTGAAAGAACACAGACTGAATCCCTGTTGACTGGCGAAAAGGACTAAACGCTGTCAAAGATGGTATTTCGCGTGTAATGACGACGCAGTCGAGGCCCATACACCTCTCGATGAGAGCCAATTCGCCACCATCGCTCGGCCACAAGGAAATTCTCCCCGAGCATCCGCGTTTTAGCCTTTTTATTCGCGCAATCTAGCAGTATCAAACCTGCCTATTCTGGGCGAAATCTGCTGGTCAATTTGCTTTCCCAGCGATCACCTTGGGATCAACCCTTTCCTACACAGATGGGATACAATATCATCCGTGTCGAGCCCCTGGACGAGCTTTGATGGACGGCCAGAGGGGATTTCGGGCAGCAACTATGTTTGGGCGAGGCGAAGAGCACACGCAGGT